AGTCCTCTACTGGACTCTATGGGTACTGCCCTTGACCTTACTCGTATTAGGGTAACATCAAATCCTCATGTACATTCTGTGGACTTTTACATCAGTGGTGCGAGTGCCCAATTGGACAGACCAAATTGTACCCTTATCTTTCGTCAACGAAAACTATGACGAAAAATGTTCATCAACAACCTTTTTTACATGACTAAGACGAGACGATGACGAGCTAAAAATAGAGTCTCGATAACGAAAACTTTGACGAAATGAATTTTTAGTTTTCGTTGACGAGACGGGACTAAGGTGTTAATGGTGGATTATCGGACATTTAAAATGCAGGGTATTTCCCCCCAATTGTCCGTCTTGTCCGTCAAAATGCATCTTACGTTTCTAACTTGCCATATCATTATTTCCGCTCTCTTCACTCCAGAAGAGCGATCTCCCTGTGTCTCTCTGTGTGCGGGGGGCGGGGCCCAACAGACGCGCTGCAGCGGCACACAGAGATCTGCCAGGGACGGAGCGTTCAGAAGTATAGAGACATTCTACAAGGCTTGATGTGGACAAAGCTTGTTTTCCATTAGTGTTTTCGCGTTAGCGCGTTGACACGAGTAGAGTAGTCTGTCCAAACAGCCGGCCAAAAGGCGTCATATTCAGTCGGAGAAATGCACAATTTTCGACATCCTTAACTCGTAGCTCTGTTGCCCAATTACGAGTAACGTTATCACATCAGGTGTGCAGAGGTGGGAGAAGTACTCAGATCTTGTAGTTAAGTAAAAAAATACCATAGTGTAGGAAGAGTTCCTCAAGTAAAAGTATGATCATCATAATATAGTTAAAGTAGCGACAGTAAAAGTAGTCGTTGTGCAGATTGGTCCACTTCAGAATAATATATATGATGTGTTTTATAATGATTGATCATTAAAGTGTTCTCAAAGCTGGTAAAGGTGCAGCTAGTTTGAATGACTTTGTATACTGCAGGGTAGCTTGTGAATTTACTCCAGGTGGAACTAGAGTCTGATTGAACACTTGATTATATTTCACATCATTCATCCACATCTGTAAAGTAACTAAAGGTATTAAATACATGTAGTGGAGTAGAAGTACACCATTTACCTATGAACTGTAGTGGAGTAGAAGTACACAGTAGCAAAACATTGAAATAATCCAGTAAAGTACAAGTACCTCATTTTACTCAAGTACAGTACAATATTTTAACATAATTATATATATTTCATTTATTTCACATTTAAATAAAGCAATTAATTCGGTTAACAATTTGTTAGTTTTCCCCTTTAAAAAATAACAAAAAGTAAATACAAGAATACCGTTAAAGTACCGGATCGATAAGCAGTATCGATAAGACTAGTAGTACCGTAGAAAACCTTAACGATGCCCATCCCTAGATATTACACAAGTCAAGTGTTAAGAGAGTGAAATGTTGCTTTACAAATTTCAACACTTGATGCTGTCCCATTGATTCCAATGTCAGAAACCTGTATTTGCCCAACTGAATTGGTTAAAAGTTGACTCAAATGTAAGTTTTCATCGACTAAAAGTAGACTAAAACGTTTTGAGTTTTCATCAAATAAAACTAGACTAAAACTATGAAGGATAGAAATGACTAAAATGTGACTAAAACTAATAACCATTTTCGTCTAAAGACTAAGACTAAGACTAAATCAAAAACAGCTGCCAAAATAAAAAGTAAAAAAAGTTAACTTTTGTGAGAACCAGGCAAAAGGGGTGAAAATGAAAAAAAGTATCCGAAAATAGTGCCTCATAATGTGGGTAGTCCCCTGTCAACTCCCCTTGCATTCCTCCAGAGGCACATTTGTCAGAGTAAACTTTTGTGAGAACCGAGCAAAAGGGGTGAAAATGTAAAAATAGTGTCCGAAAATAGTGCCTCATGAGGCGGGAAGAGTCCCCTGTCAACTCCCCTTACATTCCTCCAGAGGCACATTTGTCAGTCAACTTTTGTGAGAACCAGACTGGGGAGGTCTTGAGGCACAAAATAAGGCCGACCCAAAGTGCATGGTGAGCGGACACTGCACCTCCGTGTTTGCAGACAGCCGTTTTTTGTCTGAGTGCACCCAAAAACCGGGTTTCCGATTTCGTGCAGACCGTAGTCCAAAATGTATGGATGAATATTTTTGACGGAGAAGGGGAAATGAAGCCTTGGACACTTTTCCCCTTCTCCGTTGCAACTTACAACGGAGAAGGGGAAAAAGGGCCCGAAAAAACCCGAAGCCCCAAAGGGTTGAGCCCCTTCTCCGTTGGCACTTAGTAATTTTTTCGACAATTTTTTTCGACTTCATTTTTTATTATTTTAAGATATAATTAACCGTTTTCTTCACTTTTTTCTTCTTTTCACGGTGGGTGCGCCTGGCAGACCGCCTATGAGTAACCAAACTTGGCCTGGAACCTCCAGGATTTGTGGGCTAAGCTCCATAAACTGACAAAATCACCCAGAAATGTCACTTTCCTAGCCCAATACAAATACATTTAAATAGCAAAAAGGTACAATTTTGCTCCGAATTACCCCGCGGTGGATTTATATAGCCACATGATAGTGATTAACCTGTTAAGCACTGAGCCTGTTTTTCAGGTCTCTGGCTCAAAAATGACAGAATGAACAGAACAAATGACCATATCTTCCCTTCTACAAGGGTTACATTAATCATCTTTTTTCTCAAAGTAATGATAAACCTGTGAGTTGGATGTAGACAAGTCAGAATCCATATAGATGTTTTTTATTTTAAAGAAAATTCAGATTGAACGTAAAATTATAGTGTCCGTCCAAAACAATTGTTTTACTTATAGAAATTATATTGGCTCTAACGGTCAGAAAGAGATGTCAATCACCAAAATTGACCAATGGGTTCCAGAGAAATGGTAAAACCCCCATTTCCACCCAAATCACCTCAGAGGTGGAGTTTCTTTTGCTAAACCTCTCTAAAAAGGTCAAATGTCACTTGTTTTGCGTCAATCTTGATACAGGGTACTTATTATATGTTGTACTTTGGAATCCTAAAGCTTTTAGTCTACCTTACCATCATCCAAGGGTAGTTTATGTAAAGGAATATTTTAGTCTGATGCTTAGCTGACCTGAGAAACTTCACATGAGTTTCTGTGTGGAGGAGGGGGTTTCACTGCCCGCTCAGACAGAGTTTCTTTGTCTGTTCATCTGTAATCGATTAGGGGAAAAGGCGGGCTGTTTAGACCCCTCCTTTAAAAGATATATAGAGATGTTTCTGTCTTTTGTGTTTAGAGTTAATTTTGGCAGCTTGCATTGAACAGTGCGAGTTGCTTTGTTAATCCTCCGGCCGTTTGCCTCTCAATAAATATCAGTGTATTGACAGGCGAATCCAGTTTCCCTCATTTCATGATTGGCTCAACATTGCTGCAAATAATTTTGTACTTCACAGTTTACACTATAAGTAAAAACATATTTTTGGACGGACACTATAATTTACAGTTTTTTTTACGTTCAATCTGAATTTTCTTTAAAATAAAAAAGATCTATATTGATTCTGACTTTTCTACATCCAACTCACAGGTTTATCATTACTTTGAGAAAAAAGATTATTAATGTAACCCTTTTAGAAGGGAAGATATGGTCATTTGTTCTGGGAATGTCATTTTCGAGCCTGAGACCTGAAAAACAGGCTCAGGGCTTAACAGGTTAACATAAATCATAACACCCCCTCCCTTACCTTGATTATCTAGTCTCCGGCACCAAGGCCTCAGAACACATCACCCCCATCCTCATCCAACTCCACTGGCTCCCGGTTCAATCCTGTATCAACTTCAAAAACCTACTGCTCACTTACAAAGCCCTACATAACCTGCCCCCCCCCCCCCCCCCCCCTATCTGGCTGACCTTCTTCAGGAGTACACCCCCTCTCGCTCCCTACGCTCCTCCTCTGCTGGTCTACTAACAGTCCCCACCCCACGCCTCGTCACCATGGGTGCTCAGGCTTTTAGCTGCACTGCTCCCAGATTCTGGAACTCCCTCCCCCCGCACATCCGACTGTCAGACACAATCACCATATTCAAATCCCAATTAAAAACCCACCTGTTGAAATCTGCCTACTCACTGTAGTGCTCCCCATTATATGTTTCATTTGTGTCCACTTGACTGTCTCCTCCATGAGTTCCTGTTTGTGTTTTTATCATGTTCTGTTGCCTATTAGCGTTTTCTTTCTTTTTTTACAAATTGTACGGTGTCCTTGGGTGTCATGAAAGGTGCCTAAAATCAAATGTATTATTATTATTAGTCTATACATGTTATATCCTGGGATATTAACAATATCCGACGGAATTGAAGGGTTTAGCCAGGTTTCAGAAAGGCATAAATAATCAAGGTTTGAGTTTGTTATAATTGCTCCAGTTGTTCAATTTTTGACGTCAAGCTTCTGATATTTAAGTGTCCACCGAAAATGCCCTTAGGTTTGACATTTGAGTCCAATAACACCTTTGCATGATTTACAGTTTGAAATATTTTGGTGTCATGTTGTTTTTGTCTTCACATCACTGCAAATAGTGCGCTGAAAGTTTGATTGTCATTTGCCACTGTGTGCGTGAGATGATCGTTCAGAAGTGGTGACAGAGTTACCTTGTCGAATTGTATCATAAAGGTCCCCTTGGACTGGAGGAACGGGCACCGGTGTGTCGTTGATACGAAGCCTGGGTCCGCAGGTCAGATGCGGGGTCTCTCCGGACAACGCACAGCTCTGCGTGGCTCGGGTCCAGCTGATTGAAGGGTCGCCAATCACAGCCGCAGCTCCACAACCGCAAGACGCCACCCCGGTCATCGCCACGGAAACCGAGCGAGGAACAAAGAGCTTCGCACCCGCCACTTGTTCACAGTGTATGAACGAAAGTGGAGCACCGTCGGTAAGGAGATCGTCTCGGTCTTTCCTGGTCAGTGCAGTCAAACCTAGCCACACGTGACGCGACGCCGGTCAGGACCATCACACGACCGGCTGCGGTAGCCATACCGTGGATCAGATTATTCATCTGGCCCACGCAGCGGTCTGAATAATCACTCCCGTCCTCAGGCGGGGGGCGGGGGGGGCGGGAGTGTCCTGCTGAGGGGAAATCAGCGACACTCCCAACACACCTAGATTACTGGCCACCGCCGCCATCTGGCCGCCGCCGCCATCTGCGCCCCGAGCCAGATACTCAAGGATTTCGCGGTCACGCGACAGCGGGGGCCTTCTCCCCTCTGCCCACCCGGCTGTCTGCGGAAGCAGATGGGCCGCTAGGCTTTCATCCAGTGGGGGCACACCGGGACACTCCGTGTCCGAGTGGCCCTCCACTCTGAGGATTCCAGCCCAAGTAGCCACCGGAGCCTTCGTTCTCAGTGGCTGCCGCCACGTGGCCTCCACACACCGCCAGATGCCTGGCAGGGGGGTGAAACGCAGGCGGCTCACCGGCCTCGGTGGCAACGGTGGGGGGAGCGGCAAGCCTGCACACTCCGCCGCCATAGTCATCACCGCCGGGAAGTCCTGTCCCGCAGACCTGTGCTGTTGGCCTTCCTGGCGGTCGCCGGAAATCCCAGACAACGAGGTGTCGTCATCGACGTCCCTCTCCTCGATGCTCGGACCCTTCCGGTCCGCTGGAATGGTGAACACGAAGGACAGGGGCGCTCCAATGGTGAGTCAATTTTCTTCGTTGTCTTATATTTGTATCCGTCTCTCTTCACTCAGTTGTATCTCACTGCCTTGCTGAAGAGAAAGGGATGACAGTAAGGAGGCGAGGCCTCCTTTTATGCGGTGAGATGCGCGCGCATTCAGGTAGGCCCGCTCAGGGGGCGGCTACGTCTAGAAAGTCTCAGTGGATGAATGCTTGCATGATAGGATCGAGGGGAGTACCCATAGAGTCCAGTAGAGGGCTGAGCCTGTGAGAGATATAACTAAAAACATCCCATAAGAAAAGACTACCGTTCCCACTCTTCTGTAAAACCCCATATGTCTGATAGAGAGTTGATACTAAAGTGTGGTTTTGCATGTTCAGCTGGCCTTCTATAGTTAATGGAAGAATGGAAGAGCCTGCAGTCAGTGGGTAACATCACTGATCTGTTTCCCCAGTGAGAGAAACACCTCCCTGAGTTACATACAATACTGCTGAACCAGCAGAGACCCCTTACTGACCTGAGGGTCTCCAGTCTGCAGCCTGGACTCTCCAGAAGATCTCTCAGCAGCTTCTCTCCTGAATCCTGCAGATCGTTGCGGCTCAGGTCCAGATCTCTCAGATGAGAGGGGTTGGACTTCAGAGCTGAGGCCAGAGCAGAACAGCTGATCTCTGACAAACTGCAGCCATACAGACTGAATAAAGAAAACATGATGAGGATAAACATCAGTTTATAATCAGATGTTACTCAACATTGAAATGAATGGGAACAAAAACATATGTCTTCTTCAGAAAGTCAACTTTATCCTGTAAAACTAATATTACTTCCGATGAACTTTATTCAGACGTTATGGTTTACTAAATATTAAAAACATAGATTTACTTTTAACAACTAACATCTATTACAGTTCCTTTAAGAATCAGTCAACATTTATCTCTGCAGTTCTTACTTTAGTACCTACAAATGAAAGTAGGAATAAAAGAACATTTACAACTTAATGGATGTAAGTTAATTATGTGGAAGAATCAGGCCTACATACAAAATTGAAAATATCAAGAAGATACTGTAGTGATCTCTACAATAAAACAGTTTAGTGCAGGACGTCCAAAGATATTAACAGGAGGATGTGCAAAACAGACCAACTAATAAGGCTTTATCTAAAAATTAAAGATTACTTTAAGTTAAGGTCTTCTTTTGAATAAGAAAAAAACGTTGGGGTTATCCACAGATAAATATGAAGTCTGACAAAGTACTTAACGTCCAATATATTGCATAGTTTATTTTGGCACTTGACAATCACCTTCCCTGAATTTGACTCAGGCTTAACTAAAGTCTGATTTAAGGGTTGTTTATATTTCACATCATTAATCAGAATCTGCAAAGTAACTAAAATAAATGTAGTGGAGTAAAAATACCAGGTTAACCTCTGAATTGTAGTGGAGTAGAACAAAATAGTATGCTGCTGCAACAAAAACATTTCCAACTTGGGATCAATAAAGTATATCTTATCTTATCTTAAGATGATCGATGGCTACTGCCATATTTGCAAAATGTGCCTCTGAACCTTGACAAGTGCATGTTTCAGGCTTATCAATGAACAACAGGAGGGGTCACAGACATAAGACCAGCTGTTAAATAAAGCTCTTCTGACCTTAGGTGTCATGTGGGTATATTAATTCACCCATGTATTAATTATAAGTTTTAAATTTGATAAGACCACTGTGTTTCGTATCCCCTAAACCTCCAGGGTGTACACAGTTTAATACTGGCAACTTCTAATTGTGGGAAATACGAAAACGTCTTATAAAGAGACGTGCCATATAATGTTGCGAAACACACTATAGCCAGAATGTGTAGTTCTGGGGGGGGGGGGGGGGTGGGCTGGACCATGGATGTATGGGCTGGAGCCAGTTTTGGAAAGTCTGCCGTGGTTCCATTCCATTTCAAAGAGCTGTTGACGCTCAGCGTAACCTTGTCGCACTGCCACTCCAACATCCAATCACAGGGCTTGATGACTAATCACGGGGTTTGTAAAGCAAGGCGGATGTTGTAGTCCCAAACGATAGCTGGGGATTCTGGGTAGTGTAGTGTCTTCGGAAACTGTAGTGTCTAAACTCCTAAAAAACTATTTGTTTCTCTGAATCGAAGGTTAAAAACACAAAAGCATTGTACACCATTTAATACCAATCAATATTGTGTAATTAACAAGGATAAACTGATGTTTTTTAGTGGATGAGTAATGCAGGTATCACTGTGTAATCATTTGACAGTGAGGGGAATATATCCGGTTTTATTATGAAAACTTCGAGACCGGAAAAACTGTTTTCACCCACGCTAACTTTACATGGAAGCTGCATACACGTTATCCTGACGAGACCTCAGATCATCTTCGTAAATATCTATCAAACTATAGATCCTACACCTCCACTGGACGTGGATTCTAAAAGTACAATATACACTTCTCGCTAGAAATCTAATCAAAAAGCATTTTAATGGCCAACTATTCTACAATTTAGGATTTTCCAGAGAGGGTTATATGTGAATAAACGAATAAACGGGAGCATGTTGTTTCTTACACGACCACTAGAGGTGCTATACTTTAAAACGTGGCTATGGGTCGTAATCTAAACTGCTTAAACAATCGACCTATTTGGTCGTTGTTTGTAGGAGGACAGGCTGCTAATAACACATATATCACAACATGTGTTAAAAAAAAGAGGAAACATAATGACCTCAAGCATTTGATGAACAAAATATTTGACATATGTTCTGATTGAGATTTGCTGTTAGTCCATTTTATATATAATAATATATGATAATAGAGTTGAGTGAGTTGTCAGTGTGATCTGATCACATGTCTGTGCTCCTGCTGTCACTGTCTGGAGCTATTTCAGGGTCATAAGTTTTGATCATTCAAAAAATATGAATATTATTTTTGATTCAGTTCAGCAATTCTTTTGAATAAAATATTTATTTTCATATTTCACTTGTATATATATTTTGATATTTGAATCCTTATTTTTTTCAGTTGCAGATTTTTCATTTTCAGATTCAAAACAATTATTTTTTCAGTTTCAAATCTTTTTTTTCAGGTTTCACATTGCTTTTCACCTTCAGATCGTTTTTCACTTTCAGATCTTTTTTTTTCGCTTTCAAACTTCTGGCCCTGATGTTGCTTGGGGGGGCGGGGCTTACCAAAGAGTAGTTTGGCATCCTGAGTGGCAGGCCTCCCTCTGTCATGTTGCCTTCATGGATCTTAGGTAGCGCAAGAAATATAACTCAATACTTTCTATACACAATACTCCCGTGATTGGTGGTGAACAAAACTGATACCAGCGTCAAAGTTCCGTTAAGCGAGCTGTTGAGCATCGTAGTTGGCAAAAATCAAGGTATAAGAGCAATAAACTGTGCTAGAATGTGAAATTACGGATAAAAAAAGGATTCAAATATCAAAATATGTATACAAGTGAAATCTGAAAATAAATATTTTATTCCAAAAAATTGCTGAACTGAATCAAAATAATATTCAACCTGAAAAATGATTTCAAATACTTATTTTTATTTTGAATACATCATTGTATTTTTCAAAGTTCAGGATAAAAACTTGAACTTTCAAATAAATTGTTTTTTTGAATGATCAAAACTTATGACCCTGAAATAGCTCCATATCACTGACTGTTACCAAAGAAACAGAAATTAAATAAATCACTTAACAATATTAGTGATGTACATATTTAAATGTTAATTAATATTTAGATGTGATTGATGGATGTTTTGGCTTCTCTGAGCATCTGAAAATGTATTGTGCCCACAAACACAAATAACAAACCAATATTCATCCAGGCCGTCAAAGATCAGCAGCACTTTACAGACAGCCAGCTGCTCGGCTGTGACCTTCTGTAAGGTTGGATGGAAAACATGGAGCATCTGAGAAGACTGTACTGCTCACCTTTGATCAGGTTCAGCTCCCTGAAGGAGAGCGGGATCACCAGACTGACATCTTGGTTCCCCAAACCCTCGGCCCAGTCCAGAGTGAACTTCTGCACTGAGAAGGTTTTTCCAACTCCAGCGACTCCGTGGGTCAGGACCGCTCTGATGAGAGTCTGTTGGTCAGGTAAGGCTTTAAAGATGTCCTGGCACTTGATTGGAGTGTCATGGAGGGTCTCTTTCTTGGAAGCTGTCTCCAGCTGCCTCACCTCATGTTGGGTATTAACCTCTTCACTCTGGCCTTGTGTGATGTAGAGCTCAGTGAAGATCCTGTTGAGGAGGGTTTCACTTTGATCAGTTCCTTCAGTCACACGTTCACATCTCCTCCTCAGACTGAGCCTATGTTCATCTAAAACCTGCTGCAGACCACTCTCTGCTGGAAGAGAAGGGAACAGGAGAGAATCAGGAAATGCTCTTGAGAATATAACAATAAAACTAATAAAAACAGACTGAGTTTAAATGTTTTATAAACATTGTAATGTCTTTGTTCTTCAACAGAATACCTAATAAAAAAACAAATGAACCAGGAAGAGGAATAAGACGCTGCATGAGTTCGGCCTCTTACCTCGTACAGAGCTGGTCTGACTGGCTGTCTGCAGGCCAGCTCTGGTTATGGGTCTTTCTCCACACTGGGGACAGGAGGGGTCTCCTGATGGAGGGCGCTGCTCCCAGTATGAGGTGATGCACTGTCTGCAGAACCAGTGTCCACAGCTGGTAGAGACTGGATCCTTCAGGACGTCCTGACACAGAGCACAGCTGGTAGAGACTGGACCCTTCAGGACGTCCTGACACAGAGCACAGCTGGTAGAGACTGGATCCTTCAGGACGTCCTGACACAGAGCACAGCTGGTAGAGACTGGATCCTTCAGGACGTCCTGACACAGAGCACAACTGGTAGGGACTGGATCCTTCAGGACGTCCTGACACAGAGCACAGCTGGTAGAGACTGGATCCTTCAGGACGTCCTGACACAGAGCACAGCTGGTAGAGACTGGACCCTTCAGGATGTCCTGACACAGAGCACAGCTGGTAGAGACTGGTTCCTTCAGGACGTCCTGACACAGAGCACAGCTGGTAGAGACTGGATCCTTCAGGCGTCCTGACACAGAGCACAGCTGGTAGAGACTGGACCCTTCAGGACGTCCTGACACAGAGCACAGCTGGTAGAGACTGGATCCTTCAGGCGTCCTGACACAGAGCACAGCTGGTAGAGACTGGACCCTTCAGGACGTCCTGACACAGAGCACAGCTGGTAGAGACTGGACCCTTCAGGACGTCCTGACACAGAGCACAGCTGGTAGAGACTGGTTCCTTCAGGATGTCCTGACACAGAGCACAACTGGTAGAGACTGGATCCTTCAGGACGTCCTGACACAGAGCACAGCTGGTAGAGACTGGATCCTTCAGGCGTCCTGACACAGAGCACAGCTGGTAGAGACTGGACCCTTCAGGACGTCCTGACACAGAGCACAGCTGGTAGAGACTGGATCCTTCAGGATGTCCTGACACAGAGCACAGCTGGTAGAGACTGGATCCTTCAGGACGTCCTGACACAGAGCACAGCTGGTAGAGACTGGATCCTTCAGGACGTCCTGATACAGAGCACAGCTGGTAGAGACTGGATCCTTCAGGACGTCCTGACACAGAGCACAGCTGGTAGAGACTGGATCCTTCAGGACGTCCTGACACAGAGCACAGCTGGTAGAGACTGGATCCTTCAGTACGTCCTGACACAGAGCACAGCTGGTAGAGACTGGATCCTTCAGGACGTCCTGACACGGAGCACAGCTGGTAGAGACTGGATCCTTCAGGACGTCCTGACACAGAGCACAGCTGGTAGAGACTGGATCCTTCAGGACGTCCTGACACAGAGCACAGCTGGTAGAGACTGGATCCTTCAGGACGTCCTGACACAGAGCACAGCTGGACGGCTGCTCCTCCACAGGAACACCACTCTTCCTCTTCCCTCTGTGGAGAGGAAGACATCCTTTATAGCACTTTACTTTAGAGGAGCTGATTCTCACCAAAGGTACAACAAGGGGGGAAATTCTAGTTTTATCTTTTAAAAAAGGTCTATATAATATATATCCTTGTGATCTGAGCTTACACTTCACATTATCATGAAACCAGAGAGCATCCTGTCTGGATTCATGACCCAGAGGAGCACATGTTCCCTGTATCTACGCACACAGCTGTATTAACCTGGTACACTATAAACCTAACTTGCATAGAATCTGCTGTGAATTAATAGCAATAAACATCTGGAAAGGATGCCTAAAGAACAACAGAATGATACTGATTTGTAAAAAGCCTGAGTTTATGCTTTGTCAGCTCTGTCTCCAACACAACGAGCATAATGTTTTGTTCTGAAGAGATGGGTTTGATTAAAGCTAGGCTAACATTAGCTGCTCCATCAACACTCAGAGTAACTTCATGAAGTCATAAGTACAGCAGTGAGTATATTGTTAGCACCGCAGACAGTCTCAGGTTTATACAGGAACATGAATAACCCTGATTGAATATGAGCTGCTGTAGAGCTATGCTCTCCTCTCTGATTCCCCTCAGACCGTCAGAGACCACAGGAGCACAATCTCAACACTGGCAGGTTTCTGTAACAGAGCGTCACTAACTTTACACTCAAGTTGAAATGTGTCACGCTGCACGAATACGCAGGTGACATGAATTTAACATCTTCACTTCCTTCGTGTTGCCAGGCACGGATCTGGGTCTTTGCATTGACTCTACAATGTGATTTCACAAAACTCTGTTTTACCTGCTAATGCTAAACACAACCAGCTCACCAGGTTATCACTATTATTAATAAACACCTTAAAAATTAAGTTAAATAATGTTTTGGACAATACAGATAGTTTTTAAATCAGAATTTATCAACATTGTTGCTATTTAAAACCATGTTATACACAGAGACAATGATAATATAATTGCATATTGAAATATCCTTAGATAACGTTAGCTTACTCTGCTGCGTTTTCCCTTTACAAACTGCTCACATGATATCATTAAAGAACAGTTTAATATATTAGATTACATAAAAACTGGATCCTCTTCAGGTCAGGTTACAGTAGAAACTCTTACTTTGTGTCTGAGGGTCCAGGTTCATTACTGAAGTCTGGAGGAAGCCTGCCCATAGACCGGTCACTCTTCAGAGACAGACAGCTGGAGACTGAAGATTTGTCCTCTTCCTCATCTTTTAAATCACTCATCTTCTCCAGTCTGAGAGAGAGATACAACACACACACACACACACACACACACACACACACACACACACACACACACACACACACACACACACACACACACACACACACACACACACACACACACACACACACACACACACACACACACACACACACACACACACACGTTTCAATCTCAACCATCTTAATAATAAACTTGGTTACATGAAATCAGTCAGACTTCAGGCCGCTCTCCATTGTGTCTGCGCTGGGCTCTCACATGTTATGTAACTCTGACGAATCAGAAAACATGAAATAATAAAAGTTGACAACATTTGTAGAAGTCTCAATGGACTCTAGGATGCAAATTTTTAATCAAGTTATTTTCTGACATCCAGTTTGACAGAGTAAATAATGAATGTGTTAGAAAGCAGATCCTGGTGTTAACACTCACCCTGTTGTCCTCCTCCTGTCGAGCTGTAAAATGGCATCTGGCAGTCTGCCTTCCTACTTTCACCTTCCCTTACCTGTCTGCAGCTCCTCCCTCTGTTTCATAACCAGCCTTATCAGCTGAAGCAGTTCACATACATCACTTTGTTCAGTGAGATAGAAAAAGACATGCAGCTAAAAAACAAGCTCAACAAAGTCATCAAAAGACGACACAACATCCACACATCAGCATCCATAGGATATCATTAAATCTGCTTTATATAGAAAACAATGAACAGCGACTTAAATAAAAACACAAGGCTACATTTAACTAATTTACAAGATGTGCCAAAATCAGGGCTGAAATAGAGATTTCACCTCTAGCCAGGTGGAAGGAGGAAAAGTGTTTTAAATAGGAGGAAAGTGTGCATAGATGCTCAAATGTATGTTCATGCAGCTCCTAAATAATGGTAATACTGATTAAAAATCATTTCTAGGGCAGAAAGTATTTTAAAAGTGAGAACAACTATTTTAAATGGCTTAAAAAGCACAAAGTGATTTAAATGCAGTTCCAAGTCTCCCCACAGGAGGGCTCCAGGGAGCGCATCACCCGACATGAGCACAGTGCATTAACAGTAGAAAATACGATAAATAAAGGCAAATCAATTTATTTAAATTACGGGGAGGCTCCACACCAGGCACAGGTACATTCCTACATCCCCACAATAGTGACACTGATGGTTTAAAGTCGTTTCAGTGGGGAAAAGAGTGCTAAAAGTCTGAGAAAATCAGCTAGAAGTCTGACAACAGTGTGGTAACAGTCTGATTGTTTCAGAGACCCATCTTAATGATACAATAAACCATTTACATCTAAAAGTATTGATTCAAATTCATTTTTAGGGGGAAAAGTGCAGATGAGGTATTTTGGGCAAAACACTTCACCCAACCCTGTATAGGCCTATGCCCTTGAAAACTGTGCAATATATACCTGGCTGCTAAATCCTCAGAACTGTTACAGGATGTGTATTTTGTAAATTGTATAACTTTTTATTTTATTATATGTTTTATCATTTCACTTTTTTTTTACTTTAACACTTTGTTTTGCATGTAACGTAACATGAAGCTATCTGTGTCTCTTTTCTGCTGTAATAACGCAAATGTCCCCTCTGTGGGACTAATAAAGATGTTCTGATTCTGAACTACGATGCTCAACAGCTCACTTAACAGAACTTTGACGCTGATATCAGTTTGGTTTCCCACCAATCACAGGAGTATTGTGTATCAAATCAAATCAAGTTTTATTTATATAGCAAATTTTTTCGTCGAGCCAAAGTGCTGTACATACAATAAAAATACTTTACAACAAATACAACAGCACAGTTTGTGCATAATATCAGTATGAGAAAACGACACCCTCTGTCCTTAGACCAGTGGCGGCGCTAGGGGGTGGCTACTTGGGCTCAAGCCCCGGATGTTTTCTGAAAAGCCCCGGATGTTTCACTTAAAAAAAAAAAAAAAATGGCTCAACACGTCTGGGAGTAATGTGCAGTACCGATATTAGTCCACCAGAGAGGCAGCTGTTGCGGGATATTAGCCTGAGAACTGCGTAGCCTTCCCTGCCCTGAAGAAGAAGTGATCCTTCCTAGTGCCTGACGAGTTTTAAGCTAATAGCCTATAAAGTTATGGATATTAGAAAGTTATTTTCATCGAAGCAGGCGCCACAAGCTGCAGCAGCAGCAGTATCAGCAGCTGACAACAATGTCATCACCAGCAGTCAAGAAATGGATGATGTTTCAGGTTTGTGAATCTAATGGTGATATACTCTGACTGAGTAAGAAGTGAAAAAGAGTGATGTAACGTTAATGTTATAGCTAGTAAACATGGAGTAACCACACTAAGTATACCCTTATAGGTTAGTATGTAGACAGAACATGACTACAAATGATCCTAGATGTAACGTTAACCCTTCATACCTCAGTCTACTGTTAAGACACTAAAATAATGTATTCAAATTTTTTATTTTGTTTTCGCTCGTGGAATTATACCGGCTCTCGTTTCAGTAAACATAACAACGGAACTGACAGGCAACCCTCTGAATCAGACTCCGATTGGCTGTGACTGCATCCACTCAGAGTGTCCGATTCAGAAACGTGACAATGCACCAGAATCGTTGGGTTACATATTGTAACCCTTGTTATATTAGCACAGGCGGAGCCCTCTACTGGACTCTATGGGTACTACCTTACCCATTCTCCCACTGAGTCTTCTATAGACGTAGCCGGCCTTGGGCGGGCCTACCTGAATGCGCGCGCATCACACCGTATAAAAGGAGGCCTCGCCTCCTGACTATCATCCTACACCTCTCTTCAGCGAGCGGAATAGGACAGACAGTGCCCTGAGTAGAGTGCTCCGCCTGTGCTAATATAACAAGGGTTACAATACGTAACCCAACGTTATATCTCTCACAGGCTCCGCCCTCTACTGGACTCTATGGGTACAGTGGGTGGAGCCGCGATGTATACGCGCACTGTCGTCCAACAACAACATTCCACCCTACTGCCCCTGACCGGCTTTTCTGGTCAGCAGCTGCTGCCCCACATTCTCCTTTAACCCGGTTATAACCGAGGAGAAATCTGGGCTGCGGCTGACAGAGCACACCCTGCTGCGCTTACCTCGCAGAAAGTGTGCTCAAAAAACAGTGCCGGGGGACCCCCCCCCCCGCCCACAGACGGATGGGGAGAGCCCCCTCGGCCCCGAAAGGGTTTACTACACGCCTGCCTCCCTGAATCCCTAAGGATAACAGAGAGAGCGCCAGAGCCCATGCCCCACACTCAAACACTGACCCCGTGCAGAGTATGTGGACTAAAGTATGGAGGGCTACCCCCCTCCTCTCGGCAGGAGGAGAGCAGCCCTCCAGCCCTGTAAGGGCCCAGCGCGCCCCTCGCCCATCCCGGGACCCTCAGAGGGCCCGAGAACAGCGAAGGCGCATTACGTCCGGGGAGGGGGTCAGATCCCAACTGACCCCCCCCCTACCAGTCCTGTGTTGCCCCCGCAAGCACAGACGAGGAGAAAGAGCCCGACATGTCCAAGAGATAAAACCTTATGAAGGGGCCTGGCGTCGACCAAGACGCCGCTGTGCATACCCTCCTGACTCACACCGTTGAATAAGGCTGTCGATGCAGCCACAGCCCGTGTGGAGTGCGCACGAACCCCCGTGGGGCAGGCTCTCCTTGCCTGTCCGTAGGCATGTGCAATTCACTCGCAGAGCCAGCCTGCCAGGCGTTTCTTGGACAGAGCTTTCCCGATCACACCGCCCCCCACACACACGAACAGCTGTTCGGTGCGTCTAAGGGCAGCCGTGCGCTCCACATAACATGCTAGCGCACGCACCGGGCAGAGGAGGTGCAGTTTAGCTTCCCTGGCCCCACCATGGGGGGGAGACTAAAACCCCCTAACTGAATAGCCCTCGACCTGAACGCACTCCTTAGTCTCTTGGGCACAAAGGAGGGGTTCGGTCTGAGTGTCGCGCCGCTCCGGTCACCCCGAATCAGTAAACAACTCGGGTGCACCGACAGAGCAGTTAACTCGGACACCCTTTTGGCTGACGTTAAGGCAAGAAGCAAAGCTGTTTTCCACGACAATGCTTTCAGAGAGGAGAGCTCCAGAGGCTCAAACGGCCCAGAGGCCAGAGCCTCGAGCACTAGGGGCAGGTCCCACTGTGGGGTGGAGGTGTGCACTACTGGGCGCAGCCTCCTGACCCCCTGTATAAACCGCGACATCAGTGGTTGACTAAAGGCTGACCTGCCGCCAAATCCCTCATGGCAGGACGAGATGGCTGCTGCATACACCTTCACTGTTGAATGCGCAAGCCCTCTGTCCACCAGTAACTGTAAGAAGGATAAAATAGAGCCTAACTCACAAGATAGGGGCTCTATTCTCCACTCTTCACACCATCGCTGGAATCCTAGCCACTTCGGCCTGTAACAGGCTGTGGTGGATCCAGCTCTAGCTGCCCGGATAGACTGAATAACGCTGTCAGACAATCCACCCTGTCTCAGCCTGTCCCTCTCAGGAGCCAAACCTGGAGAGGACGGCCGAGAGTGGGTAACGCCCCGATTGCACCTGCCTCTTGAGACATCGCCCCCCAGAACTGGGGAACCGCCCAGGGCTGGCCCACCTTCATCTGTGTCATCTCTGAGTACCACGGCGCCCCGACACGGTCCGGAGCCACTAGGATGACTGACAGACGTTCTCGCCTCACTCCCCAGGAGAGGGAGAATGAGACGCAGCGGTGGAAAGGCGTATAGCAGCTTCCTTGGCCATGGCTCGTGTGCAAACGCGTCCACCCCCAAGGGTGGGTCGTCGCTCCGAGCCACGGAGAACCACAGGGCACAGTGGCTGTTTCGCCGGCTGGCGAACAGATCCACTTCCGCTCTCCCGAACTGGGCCCAGATCTGCTTCACCACCTTCGGGTGAAGCACCCACTCGCCTGGCAGGGGGCCGCCCCTCGACATGAGGTCGGCCCCTCTGTTCTCCAGTCCCGGGATATGGAGGGCCCTCAGAGATAACACCACCTCTGAAGCCCATAACCACAGTTCCTCCGCTGTGGTCAACAAGGCGGCAGATCGAACTCCGCCCTGCTTGTTGATATAAGCCACTGTGGTGCTGTTGTCGCTCCTGACCAATACATGTCTCCCCTGAATTAGGGGCCTGAAATGCTGGAGGACTAACACTACCGCCCGTAGCTCTAGGAGGTTGCTGTGTCAAGACTCTGTTAGAGCCCAGCGCCCACCTATAGCCCTCTTCAGGCAGGTCCCTCCCCATCCTGTTCTGGATGCATCCGTGAACACTGTGATGTAGGAGGTCACCCGTCCCAGTGGAGACCCCCTCCGGAGGTGATCCGGGGACCCCCAAAACCGGAGGTTGCCCTCCACTGAGGGGGGGATGGTCACCAGCCGCCGCTTGTGCCTCTTGGGATTCAAGCGCAGGCTGGAGAACCACCTCTGCAGGCGGCGCATATGTAGTAACCCTAACGGGACCACCATGTGAGCAGCCGTCATGAAACCCAG